GTTAAGTAACTTGTGCAAGGGCACCCAGCTAGCAAATTGTAATTACCTGACTCTGAAACCTCTGTTCTTCCACTTCACACCCTGGTCTAACACAAGGTAAGGGGCTTATTGATTCCAGACTCAAGTGAGGCACAACGTTGCCGAAGGAGGCCACTGTTTTGTTGCTCTCCTCTAGGCAGTGGCTGCCTCCCCCCAGAACCCCCTCCTCTTCTGGGCCCCTTCTACAGGTGTCGAAATCTCACAAATGCAAGCTTTCACCTCTGGGGAGATGGGAAAGCAGTGATCAAGAGAGAAACCTGACAAACCCAGACCAACCATGGGGGTCTCCCTCCTGCTAACACCCCTCCCGGTGGTTCCCCGTCTGCCCCTCCCCTTTGTGGGTCAAGCCTGCCAGCATCTGTGTCTGTTTCATTGTGCTGTGGGGGAAGGGGAGAGTCAGGGGTGAGTGGGTGTGTGTGTGCATGAACATAAAGCCTCCGGGTTCATTCTGACACTGAATGAAAAACTCACCAATTATTCGTCCAATCTCATTAATATGCAGACAGACATCTGTTATTTAGAAGTCAACAACAAAGGCATTTTCTTGTGGGGAGGGGCACTAGTGTACATGGCTCTCTTGTCTCTTGGCTGCTGGAGAGTAGCTATTCCAGACCTGGGGCCTCCCCTCTCTCTGACCTTCACACGCAGCCTTGAGGAGAGCAAGTAAGGGATTGACCAGAGATGGCTGGAGATCCGGGAACCCAGCTGGAAGGAAGGAAGCTGGAGAGGAGCTGCCTTGTGTAGAAGAAACAGAACAAAATGCTAAACCCTTTCCTGGGGAAGAGAATGTGGATTGGGAGAGAGAGCTGTGCCAGGATTTCCTAACCCACTGGAAATCTCAGGGACATGACCCCTCCCCCGCACCTTCCCAGCCTTCGAGATGAGTCTGAGTGCATCTGAAGCAGGGAGAGGGTCACTATGGCAACATGAGGTCCTCACCCAGAGACTGCAGAAAAAGTAATGAGAGGAATTCAGAAAAATGGAGACCAAGGGACCCCAATCTTTGGAGGAGTCACTAAAGGCCTTCAGGCCCCAGGATAGGTGTGAGAACAAGACATAACCACCTCCTGCTTCCTGTCTTCTGTATTCCTCCAGCCTTCCAGTCCCAGCGCAAAATACCCCTCCAAGAAGCCTTTCCTGATTCCCTCAGGCCCAGCTTACAAGCACTTAAGCCTTGGTGTGGTAGTTGTAAACAAAGATTGGCATCAGCTCAGCAATGCAATGAGGTAGATGTGGTGATCAGATCAGCCCCCTTTTCTTTTTCCTTTTTTTTTTTTTTTTTTTT